TTCTATCACAATCCAGTCGGCATCAAGTCTTGACTCAACCATATCTTACTTATAGATGCTACTCGAGGTAATTGTTGTACTTCTTTTAAGATCAAAGTACCAAAATGAATGGGCGTTGGCTTTTAAAAGGAAAGTACCAAATGCAGTTTGCGACAGAAGATGCTTCAAAAACACCACTCCACTGACTGGGCGGCTGATCACCAATTATATTAACAACCATGCCCTCCTAACGACTCCATTGGGTCGCCAATGCCTATACACCAACCCGTATAAATACCGTTCCCCTGTTGCAGGTCTCACGATGAAGTAAGAAACAAGGCAGCCATCGGAACAGTGATGCTCACAATGTTGTCCGTGACTAGCGTCCGAAGTGCTCTAAGTGTTGACTACTACGATCGCACATGCCCTCAGGTGGAGTACAATGTGGCAGGTGCTGTACATAAAGCAACCCTGAACGATAAAACAGTCCCAGCTGCTCTGCTTCGGATGCACTTTCATGATTGCTTCATAAGGGTATGTATGAACATGAAGATGCCACTTTTCATGATTGCTCCCAGATTCTCGAATGACGTACGTGTAGCTTAAAATGAATCTGATGTTAACCGGCACTCATTTTTGGTGTCTTGTAAGGGTTCTGACGCGTCGGTTCTGCTGCAATCAAAGGGAAAGAAGAAAGCCGAAAAAGATGGGCCGGCCAACATTTCTTTGCATGCGTTCTACGTCATCGACAATGCCAAGAAATCACTGGAGGCCGTATGTCCCGGGGTGGTCTCTTGTGCAGATATTTTGGCACAAGCTGCCAGGGATCCTGTAGTTGTGGTCAGTCAAAACTCATGAATCGTTTTGGTCTGTCAAACTCGTTACGCAAAAACTCGTCCAAATTTACGTTTTCGTTGCTGCAATGTGAATGGTATATCAGTCAGGAGGACCCGCGTGGGGAGTGCCGAAAGGAAGAAAAGATGGAAGGATATCAAAAGCAGATGAAACCAGACAGCTGCCAGCTCCAGTGTTCAATATTTTCCAACTAGAGCGAAGCTTCTCTCAGAGAGGCCTTACCTTGGAAGATCTTGTAGCCCTCTCGGGAGGCCATACCCTTGGGTTCGCTCACTGTTCATCTTTCTAGAACAGAATCCACAGCTTCAGCCCCAGACAAGACGTTGACCCCTCCATGAGCCCCTTCTTCGCAGCCAGGCTCGGACGCATCTGTCCCCTGCACGACAAGACCAGAAACGCTGGTGCTCTCTTGGATTCGAGCTCCACCAGCTTTGACAACGCATACTACAAGCTCCTACTTCAAGGGAAGAGCATTTTCACTTCTGACCAGGCCCTGCTCACTCATCCCCAATCCAGAGCACTGGTTTCCAAGTTCGCTCGTTCCCGGAAGGAGTTTGAATGCGCCTTCGTCAAGTCCATGATCAAGATGAGCAGCATCCCTGGCGGCCAAGAGATCAGGCTTGATTGTAAAGTTGTCAATTAGATGATTCCATATATTTTCCGGAAATAGGAGAACAACGAGAAGATGAAAAAGGAGGGTCCATCAGTGAGGAAATAGTTGTGAGTTGTGACGTTTCAAGGCCTAAGCCGAGCCTTTGGTGCAGTACATGGGTTGTGAGTTGCTTTCCCCGTTGACGCTAATTAGCGTCGAGGGTGGTGTTTGTGTGCCTGTTAACATTATTGGGCCGCCGTGTATTGGGATTTTGTTTTATGTGGTGCGTTGCCAGAAGATGACGAGCGTACTAATATTTGGCTATCGAAAAACCAAATACGCACATAATTGATAGGCAACTGATTTATCCTGAATGGGTTTGGGTTATATATATAAACGGATCCTCGATTAAATAATTCTAGCATTGCTATGTTACTGAATATCAGCGGTGAGATGGTTGCCGGGCAATTTATTCAAGTATCACGGGGAGCAGAGACGGATCCACAGCGGGGGAAGCACCCAAGGTACAAAAAATTGGCTAAATTTACTTGGTTTTTCTCTGTAGAAAAACGTTAAAATTAATTTTAGCCCCTCACTATAATATAGTTTTGCATGTTGGCCCTCCCCATAAAGCTGGTTCTTTATCCATCCCAGACAGGGAGTTAGCTGTATCTATATATTAAATGCGTAATTTGCTCAAATATCATCTTCCACGTTTTATGAAACAACGTTAAAGGTGTTACTTGGAAAATTAAAGTAACCTAAGAAGGGGGTGCAACCAGCAAGCATGGGCTTGAAAGCACAACACGAAAACCATTCACATGCTTCGATGTTAATAATTAGGAAAGGAGAAGATTTTATTCATTTTTTGGTGGGCGACCAAAACTTTATTGCGACTTTCTTGTCGGCTTTGAGATGGGATGAGTCCGACGGTGGATTTAAAGGAAGGAAGAGATGAAGTTGTGACGTGGAAATTAAATGCTAAAAAAAAATGAAGCCGTGTGGAAATTAACATGCCCTTGAAATTGGGCGGAAACTGCGGCTCCTAGGAGCCTTGCATTTTAGGACTGATCTCGGGCAGCCATCACATTGTTAGATTCTTCTCACAAATAAACCCAACCATTCTCATTTCCCATCTTTCTGTCTCCTCAATCCTCAATGGCCAACAATGATGAAGGTTTGAAACTTAAGGGATGATAGGCACAATAATTAATACAGTCTCAAAAAAGTCATCATATCAGTATCTTATTATCACCGTAAAATTTTTTTATAAGAGTCTAAATTAGTTTGGGACAGATAAAATATTCAAAATATTGAATGGTTTATATCCACAAAAAAAATCTTCAATAGCCTCGTCAAATTGTTGGCCCAAAATAAAATCCTCGCCAAATTCAAATCCCAATTTTCCCTTTTTCTGGGCTTGACAGTGTGACAAGACTTGTAGCACACCCACTCTGGATCAAAAATGCGAGGCACAGCCTGTAGCTAGGGGTGTTCAGTTTGAGGTTTTGTCTCGACCTGAAAACAATCAAGATATGACTTTACGAGATAGAATAAGAAAAGGTTTAGGACGAGACATGAGATTACTATCAGGATATCTCATCCCGTCTCATCCCGAATATTATATCTATTATTTTTTATTTTAATTATATTAATATAATTTATACTTATATTAATTATAATTTTAATACTTGCAATTCTTATTTAAAACAAACATTTTTTATATTGATAATTTTAATTACATTGAGTAAACATAGCGATATCTTTTTTTATAATATATTAATTATATTAATATAATTTATTCTTACATCTATCTATTTAATAACTTTTATTTATAACGTATTTCTTACTTATTTTCAAAAGAGTAATTAATTTAGTACATCTCCACTGAAGTAGAAGAACAATGATTTGATGTTGTGCTTAATTTACCTATTATTGCTACTCTTATAACTTAAAGATCACTTGTATTTGCTATTATAATGTGTAGTTATAATTAATGTAATTCAATAATTGACTTTAAATTGGTGTGATTTATATACTTGTGTTATTTTGATTTTAAACTTAATAAATTGTACGATTTAAATTTTTAATGAACATTATTATCCTAATCTTTTTTAATATTATCCAATTTATTGGAACGGCGGAATGTCTCAATCTCGCATCCTAACTTCTAACGGGATGAAACGACTTTCAGGATGAAACGGGACACAGGACCAAAATTTAATTTTAATTTTTTTTTTTCGGAATGAGACACGGGACAAGAGTATCCTAATCCCATCTTATCGCATGGACACTTCTATCTGTAGTGTTTGGAATCCAGCTGACAATTTTGTTAAATCTCTTTGTCTAACAATTGAATATTCTAGAAATATCACAAGTTTAAATTTAACATCTTCACTCTATTGGAAACGACCAGCATGGTCTGCTCATGCCAACAACTTTTAAAAAGTGATTTATATCTTGTGATAAAAGGTCACTCTTCTCTATGAAAAATATATAGATAAATAAAAATGTGTGAATATTTATGCAGGAAATCCATCTACATGTCCACGTAGTCTGTTTCTTGATAGTTTAGATTTAATTTAATTATTATATTTAAATAATTTTTATTTTAAAAAAATAAAGAATAAAAAAAGATAATTTTGTGGTCGTCATTTTACAAAAACTATCGTTCAAAAAAATTAGATGTAAAAAACCTTTGCTTTGATTCGTTCAAACCAAATTTAAACTGTCCAATTCCATAATGCTGATGGGAGCGGAGACGGGAAGTGCACCTTTCCTACTGGGGACCAAAAATGAGATCCCATGGGCCGATGGTCTAGCTAGTCTAATAGGCTAGCGCGACGAGGCATGAGCTTTGAAATTTTAATTTTAAAATGAAATCGCTTAATCTAGACTTATTTATTAAACAAAGACAAAGGCGTGTTTGACAGATGACAATTTTATACATATGGAGACCTGAGCGTTTGGATTCGGTGATGAGCATCAAGACCCAGAATGAGATTTTTATTTTTTATTTATTATAGAAAATTATAAAAATTTAATAAATTTATTAAATTTAATTTGAATAATTTAATTTAATATTAAATTTTTTATAAATTTTTTAAATTAACTATTCAAATATATTTTGTTCAGTCTAGATTTAACATTAAAATTTTTTTATAATTTTTATTTTAGTAAATATAATATTAAAAAATAAAGATAAAGATAATCTTCAAACTATTTTTAAAAAAATTAAGAAAAAGTTACAATTTAAAAATTTTAAATATGTACTGTATAAAGTACATTTAGATATTCAACTTATAAAAATCATAAAAATTTTTAATATTAAATTAAACTATCTAAATTAAATTTATATTGTTTAATTTGATAATAAAATAAATTTATTAAAATTTATAATTTTTATTTTAATAAATATAAAATAAAATATAAAAATAAAAATAAATAAATTTGGACCGTGTGGGTTAAAAATCTGAACGGTTTAAATTACTCATCGAGTGATGTTGAGCATGGGAACCGTGCGAGGTGACCCTGCATGTTGAAATCTATTCTTTGGGTACCCAACTTTCCAGTTGATTGGTGTCCGGTCAGAGTTGCAATTCGCCCAACTGGTTGTACAGGTCTGCTTTACGTAATGTTCAAGATTTACATGGTGCGAAGGCGGGAATTAACGTAGCGGGAACATGCGCATCAATCATCAGTATATAAAATCATGTGGCGTGGTTTCAGGAATTTAGTAATTTATTTGCAACTTGCCGTTCCACCCTTGTAATAAAAGTTACACGGATTGACTGCTGAGAATGTTGTATTCATGAGGCCTGGAGGTGGCACCCGGGGGGGGGGGGTGGGAAGACGGGGGTTCCGAGAGGAGAATTAAAGAGGAGAGGAAGAGGCAGAAGCGATGTCGATGACGAAACGGTAACGGACATTGTTGGAGGCGAGGCGATCCAAGGCCTGGTTGATCTGATGAGGCCTTATCAACTCCACGTCGCACGTGATGTCGTGCTTGCCACAGAGGTCCAGCATTTCCTGCGTCTCCCTGATGCCTCCGATGATGCCTCCTTTCACCGTCCTTTTCCCGAAGATCAAAGGGAAAGCCGGCAGCTGGAGGGGCTCGTTGGGAGCCCCTACGATGAACAGTGTGCCGTTGACCTTGAGCAGTTCCAGGATTGGTAACAGAGAATGCTCCCCTGACACCGTGTCCAGTACGAAATCCAGCGTCCTCTTCCCCGCCTCCATCTGCTCCTGGTCGCTGCTTACCAAGAACTCGTCGGCTCCCAGCCTGTTCTTCGCCTCCCACTCCTTCCCCGCCGACCTGCTGATCACCGTCACGTGGTGCCCGAATGCCTTCCCGAATTTCACCGCCACATGCCCCAGTCCTCCCAGCCCCACCACCCCTATCCTCTTCCCCCCGCTCTCCACCAGCCCGTGATCTTTCATCGGACTGAACACCGTTATCCCCGCGCACAGCAGCGGAGCCGCTCCTTCCATCCTCAGGTTTTCCGGTACGTGCACCACGTATCTTCACATTTTCAACAACACCACTTCTCTCGATATCACTCCTTCAACTGGCAAAAATCAAGATTTAGAGAGGAACTGAGGGAGCCTTACCTGTGATCCGCCACTATCATGGTGGAGTAGCCGCCGTAGGTGACACTGCCGTCCCAGAAGATACCGTTGTATGTGAACTGTAACTGTTGGCAGTAGTTCTCCTGATCGCTCCTACAGTATTCACAGTCCAGGCACGTGGCTGCCAGGCACCCCACCCCTGCCCTGTCTCCTTCCTTGAACCCCTTCACGTTGCTCCCCACCTTCGTTATCACCCCTATGATCTCGTGCCTGTCATGCATGTGTTTCTTGTTATATTTCCGTGCGTGTCTCTGTGCGTGCGTGCGTGCGTGTGTGTAATGGGGACAGAGGTGTTGCGATGCTAATGTAATTACCCCGGAACCACGGGATACATAGTAATGCCCCAGTCGTTCTTGACATAGTGAAGGTCAGTGTGGCAGATGCCACAATACAGGATCCGTATAGTGACGTCGTCAACGCCGTTCTCCCTGCGCGAGTTTAGGTCAAAACCACTTAAAATCATGGACACGTTTTATGCACCGTAAAAGAGAGGAACAGCATGATTTGTAGGGTAGAAGAGAGTACCGTCGTTTAAAAGTGTAAGGGGTAATTTTGCCGGAAGAATCGTGAGCAGCCCATCCGGAAACAGTATGTGTGTGACTGGGCGTAGCCTTGGCCATGGCACAGAGTTTCAGAAGCACGCCCGCCCACTCGTCTCTCCCCTGTATCGCTAGCTCTCAGCTGCTTTGGAGTGGGTATGTATGGCGGACAGGCTGCTGAGCGTATCGGGCTTTTATAGAGAAATCCCTCCACGCGAACGATCCAATAGCAATATGTTACAGCGAAAGCACTCGTGCGAACTCCAGAGAAATGGTCTCACTGGTTGGCGCAGCTACCGCGAAATAACGGAGTAAGCAAATGGCAGATTCCGTTAAATTTTTCAGCGCATAAAAAATTAGCCATAAGTGACAAATGGATGGTAGGTGTTGGCAGTGTATGAACAAACTCGCTTGACGATCCTGTCATAGAATAAGTTGCGGCGGGGCAACTGAACAACTAATTACCGGACTTTGCTAAAAAAAAAAAAACTAATTACTGGACATGATCCACACAAATACCAAGTTCTGAGTGATATATGTCACGATTTGTAATTTTTTACGAGATTAAGGTTATTCAGAATGCTTTAAAATCCTCCAAGAGGCTCCTGATGAGTAATATTGAGAAAACTGAAATATGTAAGAATATTCTAAAAAAATTCACATAACTCTAACATTAATATTTTAATATATTTTTTAAATATTTTTATATAAATATCTAAATATTTATTGTTAATATTTAAGAGAGAATTCTAAAAAATCAATGATAATTGTGGGATCAATTTAATTTTTATCATTTATTAAAAAGGTGAGAATTTTTTAAATTTAAAGGGAGGTTTATAAATACCTCATCCCTTTTCATTTGTAAGCATTTTTAAATTCTCAAATAATACAAGTCTCACATCTTTTAAGTCTCAACTATTATTTACTTTTAAACTTTTATTTTTTTCAACTTAACTATACATACATATCCTCAACAAATCAAATTTACTTAGTATTTTCTAGTAAAGAATGTTTAAGTCGGGGTTAGAACGGAGAATGGACACGCACGCACAGTAACCATCTCGAGAGTAAAAATGACCGATGACGAGTGTTGAAACAGAGAACGGGCACGTACACAAAAATGGGGAAACCGAAAAACTATAAAACTAGCTGATACGCTTGGTCCAAAAAAAAATAAAGAAAGAAAAGAAAGAAAGGTGATGTGTGGGCCATTGGGTTGTTGAGTTTGGAGGTCCACGGTCAGAGTCTATCCACAGAAGAAGCGCTGACTTCCTTTTTCCTCGTTGCTTCTTGTGAACTTGCGACCAAATTGGGATGGGTGACAGCACGACTTCGATCTCCCCCGCCCCACCTTAAAAATCTAAAATATTTGATGACTCTGTATACTTATATAGTATTGAAAATTTAAATTCATTGGAGTTTGAATTAACTAAAATTAAGTTTCCATTATTTTTTTTTCTGAATAGAAGGCAACGTAATTCAATTAAAGAATTGAGTGACATTTTATTATATTTAATTTCATTTAAACCGCTCTTTTTTATTTTTGGCATCAAATCATCCATAAACCACTTGCCTTTTTAAAAAAAAAAAAACGAATAACGATAACATGATATTGCCAGACAGGAGAAAAAGAACCCAGGCTACGATAAACGTGTAGGGCGCAGTTGATTTTTGAATATGATTGATCGGCAACTGAATGGTTACTTGGGCTCGCAAAGAAAATCCTGAATGGAAGTCTGTACGATAGGACGGAAATGACTCTGGGCTTCAGAATAAGTTTGGGATTGAAGAAAATTTTGTACAATGTCAACTCATATAAGAAGCCCAAGTGACGTATATTATCTATATGCGCGGCCCTCTCCAACTTTGTAAACCAAGTGAGTGGAGTGTTTTGTTCGAAAGGAATTCCATCACGTCCAAGTATTGAAAACTGAATTAATTATTGAATCATATTAAATTATGAATTAGTGAAACAATTAGAAGTCAAACCAGTGATAGACTAGTCATAACTAAAATAATACAATTAAATGAAAAGGCATTGATTATAGAAATATTTAATCAAATAAATATTCGTCGTTTTATTTACCCCCTCCCTAATTCTGTGCTAATATTTTTGTTAAATTGTTCATGAACAACAAAGCTCAAGCCACTAAATAAATAAATTAATTAACTCAATGAAGAAACTTCCACAGATTGAAGTCGTTCTCCAATGGGATGAATGGACTGTCTTCATCTCCTATAGGCTGTAGCCTTGCCTTTTCCCCAATCAATGCACCCTAAGAACCACCCAAACCTTCCATCATTCGTTGATCAAGTCACAGTTTCAATTAATCGAATCCTACAAATCCCACAAATCTTGAATCTATCATGTTTTGAACCTCTCAAGCCAAACCCCACCAAACCATGCTCGTTCTCTTCCTCGGAACCCTTCTATAAACATCAACAAGAAAGGTTAAGGAGAGTGACAATTGACTTGAGCTAGGATTAGGAATGATTGATGAGATTAAACAAGTTTGAGTGTTTGACTTTTAAAAAATTAATCCAAGGCTTTTTGCCTTTTTCATTTTTTTTAAAAACCCCCAAAAATGTCATCATTTTAGGATTCTTGAAAGAAAAATATAAATGACCCAATCAACCCAACTAACTTGGCTTGACCTCGGGTTGGTTGAGTTATATCAAGTCACTTCTTGATGGAGTTAAATGAAAAATCAAACCAATGAAGAGGCCTGTAGTCAATTTGCTTACTAGTCCAATCTAGTTTTCTATTCAACAATCACATTTGAACTCTAATTGTTGGGGACCATTGTCTTTAAATTTTGACAGTCTTTAGATTAAGAAACATCAATATATATGCACATGTACAAATATATATTAACAATGTTTGTGGCAATAAAATTCTAAGCATGTTGGAGATGTGAAGTCTCAATATAAACAAAGATTTACAAGCTCCCTTATCATAGTTTGTCTATATGTGATAGATAACAGGAAGAAAATAGCTTAATTAATGGTATAAAGCTACACATAGTTACAAAACTACAAGAAAACTAAAAAGAAGAATTAAATTCTAAGTAAAAAGCAATATAAAAGATAAATTGAGTAATGAAGTATCTGAGTTATTTGTTGTTTGTTGCTGCCTCTTTTTTTTATTTCTCTGGAGCTCTATTTATATTGCTTGTCTGAGATCATTATGTCTGCAAAACTAGGAGCATTGATGCTTCATGCCAAAAATATTTGTTCCTACTATGTTTGCTCTTGCGAACTTTGGAACACATCCAAGTAACAAACTAATAATTCCACATCTAAATAATGATTCTCCTAGTTTAATTTCTCTAAGTCTTAAAGATCACGTTCTCTTCATGACTCAATGCTTACTTAGTTTGGAAAATTTATTTAAATGAATTAGGCTCTGCTTCATTAAATAACTGATCAAGTTTAACTCTTTGTTTCTAGCTATTTTGAGCTTCTATTTAAATGTAGACATTTCAGGTCTAAACAAATAAATAGATAATAGATTAAGAGATAATAAATACTTGGATTAGAGATATACATACCAGCCTAAAAGAAAAGGAAATCCATCGAAACGAGTGAGAGTTAGTTAAACACACATGCCATTAACTTAAAAAAAAAATTCCGTAATGAAATAAAAAAAAATCACCTAAAAAACACCATTAACCAAAAAAAAAAACTAGATTAAGCCAAACCAAAATCAATAACCGCGTAAAATCGATAAAAATTCACCGCTTCGCAAAATTAACTAATTCAATTTAATATTTCTGGCCACACAATCTTAGTCTCTTGTCAATAGTTTTCTTTTCTTTTTTTCTTTTGCATCCAAGAATCACTAATCAGGCATGCTAGTAAGATGTGAATAGAAAAAAGTATTTTTAAAAGGGAGAATTTCATTTAAAAATTAAGAAAGTAACTTATTTTCAGGTGACTCCCAAAGAATTTTAAAATATCAGTTCAGTTCTATGAGATTAAATTGAAAATAAGTTGAAAGTGAAAAAGATAAAAAATACTCTCAGTTTAAATGTTTTAAAAAAAACATCAGCCACTGTTACCGAAGCTTTGTCGGCAACAGCAGTCACTAAACCTCCGTTGCTGGAGCTCCGGCCACTTGCTAGACCACTGTCGGTAGTGGCTGGAGAATTAATTCTCCAAAAGTGACCAAAATAATGTAGAATTCAAGACTCCTTGGTCGGCCAAAAAGTTTTGGATCACAAAGTCATTCAATCCATTCAATCATATAGCGCAAAAAGTCATATATATAATAAATCTTATTTTCAAACCACTTAATTATTATGTTACTTGTTAATTATGTAACTTTACTTGTTAATATCTTAACAGGATTTGTTAATTACTTTACTTTTCTTGCTAACCTCACAATTCCTGTAACAGAAATAAATTACTTGTTAATTGCATAGCTATACCTGTTAATACCTCAACAAGACTTATCAATTACTTAACTCTTCATGTTAAGTTTGTGACTCTCACAACAGAGCCAGATTACTTGTTAATCGCATAACTGTTATTGTTAATACCCTAATAGGACTTGTTAATTATTTAATTTTACTTGTCAAATTCATGACTCATTCAACTGAACTGCATTGCTTGTTAATTATGTAACTTTAATTGTTAATTGCGTAACAATACTTGTTAATTGTATATCTTTACTTGTTAATACCATAACAAGACTTGTTTAACTATTGTTTCGAAAAAGTAACCAAATTATTTGTTAATTGTATAACTTTACTTGTTAACTCCTCAACAATACTTTTTAATTGTTAAATGAATATACAATTTATATAAAAAAATTGAGTTTGTCAGATAATGAAAGCGATGATAGTCGGATCTCCCTTGTCAGTATTCATCAAGTTAGAGGTTTGAAAAATTTTATACAATTAAAGCCTAATATATCTTAATAAGTATGCTTAATACTGATAAGGGATACCCGACTGTCATTACTTTCATTATCTGACAGACTCAATTTGTATGTAAATTATATATTTATTTAACAAGTGACAATAGATAACTAACAAGTATTGTTGAGGGATTAACAATTAAAGTTATGCAATTAACAAGTAATTTGGTTGCTTTTTCAAAACAATAGTTAAACAAGTGTTGTTATAGTATTAACAAGTCAAGCTATGCAATTAACAAGTATTGTTGTGTAATTAACAAGTAAAGTGACATGATTAACAAGTTATGCAGTTCAGTTGAAGGAGTCATGAATTTGGCAAGTAAGTTCAAGTAATTAACAAGTCCTATTAAGGTATTAACAATGACAGTTACGTGATTAACAAATAATGTAGCTTTGTCGTGAGAGTCACGGACTTAATAAAGAGAGTTTAGTAATTGGCAAGTTCTGTTAAGGTATTAACAAGTATAATTATGCAATTAACAAGTAATTTATTTCAGTTGCAAGAGTTGTGGGGTTAAAAAGAAAAGTTAAGTAATTAACAAGTCCTGTTAATATTTTAACAAATAAAGTTACACAATTAACAAGTAATGTAATAATTAAATATTTTGAAAATAAGGTTAAGTAGGTTGGTGGTCTAAAACCTTTTAGTGAACTAAGAGATTTTGAATTCTACACCTATCTTGGCCACCTATGAAAAAATTAATTTTTTATAATTCTCCAGTCATTGTCAACAGCGGTCCAACTGGCGGCCAGTAACTGCTGATGCTAATGAAGCTTTGGTAATCAACGATAGTAGCTCGTGGATTTTTTTTAAATATTTGAACATATTTCAATCTTTTTTATTTTTAACTTATTTTTATTTTAATCTTATAAGATTGAATTAATATTTTAAAATTATTTAAAAGCCATGTGAGGATGAATTGCTCTCCTCATTCTTGAATGAAATTCTCCCTTTTTAAAACTCGGTTTGATGTAACCTGCACTGAGTCCGAAAACAAACACGGGGGAAAAGAGAGGCGGAGATCATAGGTTTTTGTTACGGCTTCAAAGGGTTCTTTTCCCAAGCAAGATCCGTCTGAGTGTCACCACAGCTTGCCATTCCACTCCAAGAAATCCTGACCTATTCCCTTTCCCCCCCTCTCTTTCTTCCATGACCATGTCCATTTTTTATCTGGTCATTTGATGGCTTCTCTTATATACTAATTTTCCTCTGCAGTTTCTTTTTTGTACAAAGCTAGAAAACCCTAATTGACAATGGTCACTGCCACTGATTCTTCCTCTAATCATCATTCGCCGATTAGTGCTGGGGATGCCAATAGCCCTAAGTTCCCGCGAAAAAGCCTGCCATCTCCATGGGTTCAAGTTGTACGAGGCGGTGAGTGCGAATCTCATCCATCGCCGCCTTCATCGTCTTCCTCTTCGTCATCCCTCACAACCTCTGTGCCCGACCAACCACCATTCTCTGATTTTCCTCCGAAGGAGGCGGCTGCATCGCAGTTGCCGGACAGCTCTAATGTTGTTGGCGCAGATAACCCTGACGCTCCTGACGCCAATGCGGGTCGTTCTAAGAGGCCCGCTTGGAGCAAGCCTTCTAACGGCGTTGTCGAGGCTGGTCCTGTAATGGGTGCTGTTTCTTGGCCAGCATTATCTAAATCCACGAAGGTTTCGACCAAAATATCAGCCGACTCCACTTCCAAGACTGCCTTTGATGGATCACTCTCCATTTCTCAGGTTTGGTTTCCATACTTGGCCTACTTTTATGTGCTCTGTCTTGTTGATTGGGAAGGATAGAAGGAAATGGTCGGATTGGAAGAATCCCCTTTTTCCGGCGAACAAAGTTATAAACTTAGTCATGTAAGATGTAACTATTCTATTGAAATCTATAGGTTCATCGCTCACTAAACCAGTCGCTTTAGTCGTAGGCTCCTTTTTCCTCCGTTTGTCCAGCATTCAGGCAGTATGTACGTTTGTTGGGAAATAATGACGAATCTATATATTCATGTTTGATGTTGCCATATTTTTGTAGGGGTCTGGCACTTTACACTCCCCTCAAAAACAACCAACTAATAATGCAAAGCCTAACGCTACAACAAACTATGCTGTGCCTCATAGACAAAGGTCAATGAAGCGTGGAGGTAGCAACAGCATTGGGGTTGGTCATGCTCAGAGCAGCTTTTCTAACCCTCCCCCACCCCCACCACCCCCGCCCTTTCCTGTATTTCGTATGCCAGCAAGTAGCTATAGTAACGTGGTGCCAGGGGTTCCAGACCATTCTCAAAGGGAAATCCCTTATAGGAACAGTAACTGGGATACCAGACTACCAGTTGGGGGTTTTGTGCCTGCTGTAAATGACCATTGGAATCCCCCCCGCAGGGGGAATTTTGGGCCCCCTCAGCGTGGGGATGGATCCTACCATAATAACCATGTGGGTAGGCGTGACCAGGATCGTGGAAATCATGCAAACACTAGAGACGCTCAGGTACACCAACAGAGGATGTCTCCTAGGGGATTAGTGAGGCACCCACCTCCTAATACTCCAGCATTTGTTGCCCCTCCACCCATGGGACCCTTTGCTAACTCCATCGGTTTTCCAGGTGAATTTCTTTCCCCTATTTAGAATTTTGTTTCCATAAAAGAAAGTAAGGCTTATTTACTTTCTCCTCTTTCCAGAATTTTATTATTTCCCAACTTTACCGCTAGAGCCATTCAGGGGTATGCCGTTTATTACTCATTCTCCTCCTCCTGCCATGTGTCTCCCTGTTGCGGAACTTCCTCTGACAAATATGCTGGTGAACCAAATTGATTACTACTTTAGGTAAAATAATTCTGCTTTCTGTTGTTTGTTTCTTTTCTGTAAACACTATGAAATTTGAATTTTCTATTTGTTTTTCACAGTGATGCTAATCTAGTGAAAGATGAGTTTTTAAGATCCAACATGGATGAACAGGGTTGGGTTCCAATTACTTTGATAGCAAGCTTCCGTCGGGTGAGTAAATTGTATTTAGTTAGGCAATACTTTCGTCATATCTATCTTAGATCTTTTGAATACATTTTATCCATATTTCTGTAATATATTACGAGGAAAGCATTATTCTAGAATTTATATATATTTATTGACCTTTGGTCTATCTTGCTTTTATGGCTAAATAATTCATAGGTTTGTACTAGTTGTCTCCATACAGAGTCTATTTTCTACGATTGTTACATTTGAGGATTTCTCCTTAACAAGCTGACACCATGATGCTTATTCCTTTGCAATTAGTAATAGTGGGTGAAATTGAAGGCAAACAGCATTACAGAACTGAAAAAAAATTAGAATGGATTATTTTCCTTGGTGCATATATTGAAATGTTCTTATGTTGAATTGCCTAATCTTAAAAGATTTCTCTTGAAATCCTTTGTGCTGTAATGAATTTAGCATAACCCTTCTTGATGGCTACTTGGCTGTTGTCTCGCAAATAAAAGGAGTAAGTGTATTTTTGTTTCACTTTTTGTTTATTTCTGTATGATGAATAATCTATCTTTAGTAATGATGTCTAGCGGAGATGTGCAAACCTGGTTTGGATGCTTGAAGTGCTATGCAACCAATTCTTGTATCTCCCGTTCATAAAGCTTGTATCTCTAGTTTTTAATTGCATGTCATGTATCTTTTCATCTGTTAATTGGGCAATATTTTTAAAGCGTAGAGAATAAGTTAATATAAAAGGGCAGATACATTAGTGTATTAGGACTGCAATTCGCACACATTTTTTAGCTATAATTTATATATTTTTATTATGTATTGAACAAGGTAATATTTTCATTGCCCTGTTCCTTGAAAAATTTATATTGAATGTATACAATTCATTTAATTTTAAATGATGGAAGGAGCTGATGGAGAATAGCCATGTGCCTTAGCACACTTGATATCGTGTTCACCCTTGCATCCTAGGAAGATTTCTTAAAGCTGAAAGATTTTCCATGCCATTCAACTTTTTTTTTTTTTAATGCCATGTATATTGAAACCTGAATAAGATGCTTTTGCAAAATGAGAAAAGAGCAATTCAATGGGGGAAAAAACTGGCTCTTAGACACATAGATGATGGTATTTGGTCTGTTGGTATTTTAATTTCACAAGTACTTGGATGTGGGAGCTTAGTTGAGATTTGTGGGTGTAAAGTCAGTGGAAAATTAATGGTTCTAGCAATTGGTGTGCTGTACTTACAGTTGCCTTGGGGACATGGTTCCTTCATATGCTCAAACTCTCAAAGGAGGATGAACTACTCATGTTCCTCTAAGCAAATGTATTTTTGTGTGTGTGTGTTGTTTTTATGAAAAAATATATCTTCAAGTTTTGTGTGAATGAAATGGTGTGCCACCAATGTTGGGCGGTACAGATGAAACTCGGATGTTTCTGAAATCACCAGTCTTCTATTATGTTAATCTTCCAATCATGTGATTATCAATTTCTATTGATAAAAATGCTTGAATTATTGACATATGTTCTATAATGAACTTCAATGATTATTACGTGTACTTGTATGCATGCACACATGCAAGTGGATCTTTGTGGAGCAGGAATAACAGGAAAAGATATACGGTGTGATTATAGAGGGATGAAAATTCTCTGGCAGCTCTGTTCATTTAGATGTCAACTCTGGCTAAAAGCATTACAAATAAGGGCAGACATTTGTGGTTTGACTGCATTGTCTATGTTTAGAGATGGAAAGGTGTTCCGTCTTCTACTATGAATGTTACCAATAGTTCCTTGTTTTAGGAAGCAGCTGATTGCTTAAATATCTTGATATTGCCCCTTATGTTTTTGAAAATCACTACCGGAAGAAATCACATCCTATCAAGTTACTTTATTATGTTATCAACACAGTATAATCTTTCAGGAGTCTCTCTGGTTTGAGGTCACTGTTTGTTCCTTTTTGCACAGTTAGTTTTGTTTTCACTCGGATATCTTTTGCAGGTTAAAAGTTTGACAAACAACGTTCAGGTGATACTGGATTCAATGAGAAATTCTAATGTTGTGGAAGTACAGGTAATTGATATGTCCGAGTTTAAAGTGTTTCCTGTGTGATTAATTTTCTTTTTCAATGCACAATCAGCACGCTCTTTACATGTAATATCTATTGCTTCCATGGGTGGTGAGTGGTTGGGCAATGGTAATGGGGACACTGTATATTTTGAATGTTGAAATGATGATTATGCTTTTAATTTAACAAAAGAAGCTACTTATTCTCAGGGTGACAAGTTGCGGAGGCGTAATGAATGGATGAAGTGGCTGCCTTCATCTCAGATTCGAACTGATTCTGGTTCATTATCTCCTGTCGGATCAAGTTGCAATAACGTAGCAGCTGATTTTCAAAAGATTGCTCTGGGCAAAGCTTCTACAGATAAAGGTAATTCAGACCCTGCATCAGGGGCCCTAGAAGGAAGATCTCCAACAGATTCTTCCAGTCAACCTCAACTTCCAAACGGTGATACCACGGGGAACACCAATTAAGACTGTGCCTAAATAATATATTTGAGCCTAAAATTATTCAAGTTGATTATCCAGTATCCATACTGGGTGGTACCGTTGATTTTTTTTTTTTTTTGGCCTAATCTCATTACATTTTATTCTTATCTTGTGGGGATGGGAAGAGAGGCTGTTTTGGAAGGTGATTTTCTCTACAGTCGCTGAGCTCGATTTTGGCAGTAATTGAGTCATGTAGGAGGTGAAATAAGGATTTACTCATTATTATTACATCTTAAGGTAAGGAAGGTTAACGAGACATAAAACAAATTCAGAATTTTGATGAGGCGGATTTAATGAAGTTACAGATTTGTATAGTTTATTTTCTGCTTCGGAAGATTTTCTCGTCTTGCGGTTCATGGTTAGCCTTTGTTGGGGGATAGACTCGTTGTATCAGAGAGAAATGAGGTGAGCGAAGCTGTATTAAGGGATTTCGGCTCTCCGATGGGATAATTTGAGCCCTGCTGAACTGCCGAGTTTCATGTACCCGCCTGAGGGTGACAGATCCGATTTGATAGATTTTCCCGTTAGTAACGATCTCAAGGTCTAATTATATTATTTTTTTAGATGATTTCCTCATTCGTTATTTTTCCTGCATTTCAATGTAGATATTTTATTGTGAGTGTATTTGATAGATTTTCCATCCCTCACCCCCAGTCAGTGTATTTTACATTTTTGTCCGACCTTATCATTTGGCGGTGGTGTTAATTATTATATTCTTCCATTATGATAAATGATAATCAGGAGAGGTTTCAGCTTTCAATACTCATTGTCATGCTGGTGAATAATTTGTTACAAGTCCCTTCAAACTATGAAAGAATATAATCAAAGGAGACAGAATCACAAGCATGAGATGATTGTTGAAGGTTTAGAGCTTGCTCAATATTAACCATTTATAGATTAAAAAAAATTGAGTGGGGTTTTGAGAATTTATACCTCCATGTTTAAAGAATGTTTATTATAAAAGTATGTGTAGTTTGTTGACAAGGTTATTATATCTGTAGTGGGATTTGATCTCACTCCTTGATTATTGGATAAATTTTTCAGGTTGACTAACCTCGTTTAAATTTTAATTCTTGTTTTGTAAGCTCTACCCATGTTTGTCACGTCAATGTATTGTTTCGCTGGCTGGAAAACGAAGTGAGAAGAGGGGGGGGGGGGGAGTTTCCTACGGTGGCCTGGTAGACGGTAGGGTGTTTTTTTTTATTATTATTATTATTTTTAAGGGTGTAAGCTTGAGCCGAGCCTCTAGCTGGGAATTTGTCCCGTGCAGTAACCAATTGTGATAGATTTAATGTTAGCTGGGTATTTGTCCCGTGCAGTAACCAATTGTGATAGATTTAATGTGTTTGGTTTTTAGTATGTAAAAATTTATTTGTTAAAAGTTTATTTGATAAAAATCAATTTAAAAAAAGTTAGTAATTATAATAAAATTTATGTTTGAATATATTTTTTAGAAAGTCAGTTTAATAAATTAAAAGTTGTTTGAATTATAATGATAAAATGTACTTTTCAATATACAATTACTGAAAAAAATTAATTTGTAATGTTTTGTAATTTTTATTATACAAATATAATATATTTAAAATATTTAAAAAATATGATAAAAAATTTAAATGCCATAAAATGTAATATGTTGAATAATAAAATTAAAAAAATAGAAAGTTTGATATATTAAAAAAATTATATAATAAATAGTTCAGTATATATTAATATTAACAATTAACATCATTGATATATTAATTAATAACAGTATAAAATATAAAATTTGATATAAATGATTGAATATACATCAATGAAAAAATTAACAAGATTAATTATTCAATTTATAATATTAAAAAATTGATCTCTAATAATAATAATAATTATATTTTTAATAAATGAACAATATATTTTAAATAAAAAAATAATATATTAAAGGGGTAGTATGGTCAAATAATATTTTACTTTTTAAATTCACTTTTCAAATTCTATCTCAAATTATTTTTATAAATTCACATCCAAATTATTTTAAAAAGTATTTTTTAAAAGTATATTTTTTCAATTATTTGATATCCAAACAATTTTTTACATTTAAAATATTAGAAAGTCCTTCCCCAAATGTGTGAAATGTGGTTTACCAAACAAACCCTTGATGTGAGAATGCCTCCCACACCAAACGAGGTTGAACGAGAGAGGCATGGAGAAGAGGTGTGGAGCCGAGCTTTCTGCGATCAATCCTCTCATGACCTGTTCCCTCATCCCACCCTCTCCTCTCGTTCTCACTCCTCCTTTCTTCCTTCCATCCCTCCTGCATACCCCCACGATTTCCACGCCTCCGCTGATCATCAAGAACGGAGACTCTGCCGCTCGCTCCAGAGCCCGAAAACAGGAATCCTCTCCCCCCAACCCCCGGCCCAAAAAAAAAAAAAAATCTTAATTCTTCATGCCCATCATACCCTTCATCTTGTTCTCTTTTAAATTTTCTCGTTTCGTAACACCCAGACGTGAATTTCTCCAGGCTTGGACAAACGATCTGGAATGTGAACTTGCTAGTCTACGAGAGGAGAATGCAAGACTTAGTAGACAGCAAGAGAAGGTCAGCTCTTCCTGTTTCCTTTACTTCTTTTTTGCTTGGGTCTTCATTTCAATCTCCATTATCTTATCCATGACGTTCCATCGGTTGCAGCTCTGCTGGAGGTCCCCAGATGGGCTTGTCGAGTAAGAAAGCAGCAATTTACACCAGCCTCGCTTCTTTTCTTGTCGCTACCTACTCCGGCTTGCTAATACTAATTACTATCAATTACTTTTTTTAAAAGAGGAGCGTGAGCAACGAAATGGTGTTAGTACTGGGTTTGCTGCATCTCCATCCTTCTTCAAGGTCTGCAAAAACAGATGAGGTCAATGCTGATACTGGCGGGAGTTCTATAGTCGTTCTTGCCTGTTTCGGATGGAGCTGGAGGTGGATGCTTTCTCCTAATTGAAACTCGGCATTTTAAAGTGTTTTGGGCTGGGCCTTTTATTCTCCGACTTTATTTGGACTCAAAGGTCCAATTTGCCTCTTGTCAGCGTCTAATGGGATTGACGAACAAGCCACAAGGCTTCACTTTGCGCCATGTTTTTATGAAGTAGAGGGCAAAGCCCAATTACCCAAAAAACACAACCCTAAAAATCAGGTGATTGTAATCCCAAGCAATCATTGTGCACTGGGGTGCGTATGTTATCAGGGACCATATCACAACAAGCAGAAGAAAGGATCCCCATCTTGGCAAGACCATTATCGACCAGATTTGTCTCTCTAGGAGCATATTGGAATTTTACTGTCCAGCCACGTTTCAGCATCTGCACAATTTCCATCATCACTGGAGAACCAGGTTTAATAGTGGCTCGACTTTGGCTGCTTTGAATATGGTGTAGGAGTTGTTTGCAGCCTGTCTCAACAATAAACTCTTTAAACCCAAAATCCCAAGCCAACATCAATCCCTTCCAACCTCACCATTCCTCCGCTTCATAAACATCACAAATTCCCAGGTTGTGAGAAAATCCCACCGCCCACTTCCCAAAGGAGTCTCTAATAATTCCTACACATCCTGCCTTTTTATCAATACCAGTAGATGCACCATCAGCATTGAGTTCAGCTCAAGTCACGAGTTGTTCCTACTGAAATACGTGCTCTCAAACAATATAAGGCTTTTAAAACAAACAAGGCAATTAGATCAGCACGAGTAGACAATTTTCTAATTGCGCGGTTCATAATGATATGAGAAGCCCCAAACATCAAATTACTTTCACGTCACATTCACTGCTTCCTGTCTCCTCCGCAACCACCATGTTCATAGATGTCAAACGACATTTTAAATTTATTAATTTAATTAAATGAAGGAAGCCATTGCATTCATTTTGACAGCTGAAATGCATCTGCTACGAATATGATATCTGATTAGCGTGCTGCCTGCATCTGCAAATTATTGTATCCAATTCTTAAATTTACTCACTTTTTGCTATTGTTCACACTTTTTTTACTATCCCTCGCGTTTTTTTTTTAACTTCTTTTTTTATACAGATTAAGAATTCATTAATATATAAAATATTATCCTACATAAAAATGAAATGCTCTTATTTACCCTCATAGTTTAAAAAGAGAAATTATATTAAAAAATATCAATCGCCATTTTGTGTTAGTTGATAAACTTTTCCTTTTATACTCGCGTTTGATAAATCCTTGAAATAACAGTTTTTACCGTCAAATTACTTAAATTGCTTGTGTTTAAATGTCCTGGCGCAAAACCTCCACCGTTTTTTTTTTTTTTTTTTACCATCCATTTCTTCAAGGAAACCTGACAATAGATGACAAAAATGCATCTTCCCCCTCTATATCAGACCAGAAGGTAGAAGCGAAACTGATTTGTTTCCTGCTTTGTCAACAAGAATAGGGAGACGAAAGGGCTACGGGGGCAAGAGTTTTTGTGGGTATGTATGTTTTTTTCCCCTTTGCGTGTCTGCTATGCATATTGTGTTTGTGTGTATTATACATAAGTTTTTCTGCTTCCGACGCCACATGCGATTTTCTTTTTTCTGTCTTGCCATTAAAACCTATTGCTTATATAAATGAGTTTGTACGTGTGTTTCGTATACATACAATTATCTGTGTGTGTGTGTGTGTAGTTCAGTGAAGTATATATATTCAAGTGTTCAAAGTATTATTTTTGCCATTGTCTTGGTTTGACTAGATGGATAAAAATTTCATTTTGAAAAGGAGAATAAGCTGCTGGAGCATTCATTAAGACTGGGCAGTCAATTGAAGTGTTAACTACAAGTCAGCTTAATTTTAGATTTGATTATGTGTTGAATCTTTCATCTCCGCTGTTTTTGTTTACAAATCAGTTTCGCGTCCTTTCTGGTCTGATATAATTGGGAGAAGAAGCATTTTTTGCCATCTACGGTCAGATTTTCTTAGACTAGACATATTGATCAGATAGAAAACAATAAACGGGGAAGATTTTGCGCCGGGACAAAAATCCAGATTTACCCCTCAAAATTCAAGATACGTCCCATCTCTTTTCGTTTTAATTTCTTCATGGACGACTTAGTTTGGAGAGATCCGTTCAATGGCAGCAAAAAGGAACTTGATTAAATAGGAATAACACTTATTATGGCAAGAAGCAAAAAGGAAAACAAAGTAAGGAAAGTAAAGCCGCAAGTGGAAGAAGGATAGAAATAAAAGTAAAAAGGAGGGGCGGAGTCAGAAGAACTTGTTGACATAACTTTGAAGGAGAGGACTGATGAGCTTCCTGTAGGCAGCTTCACTGGGATGATAACTGTCCCAAAACACATAATTGGAAGCGTCGCCACAAGTAGCATCCAATGGATTGCACAGCACCGCCACTTCTATTTCTCCTGTGCCGCAGCATCCCCTGTCCACCACTTGGAACCCTGCCTCCAGTTCAGTTTGTGTCAATTAATTCATGTTGGTGACTGAAGTGAGAATCAATATTGTATTTATATGTTACCGTATCTTTTGTAGTTTTGGATGATATCGCGTAAAGGGCCGTAAACATCAATATACACAATCCTGCTGTTTGGTGAATCCCTGTTGAGGGAATCCAGCTTCTTTGACAGCTTCGAGTTAAATAACCTTGCGGCTTCGTTGTGCTTTTCTGCGCACTCTCTTACTTCCCCCCCTGCCAGAGTTCTCTGTGATGGCACGCACCCAATTGGCGGCGCACTGAACACTCCAATCCTCCGCAACCCTAGTTCATGTATCTCCTAATTTCCCAATTCATCAAACATCAATTCATACTACAGAGTGATTTAACTGTACGTAATGGTGGTTCGCTTCTTTTGTACCTTAATAAAATCAGAGGCTGAATTGGCCATGAGATCAGTGTAGGCGGGGACGTCGTATTGGAGTTGCCTAACGCGAGCGGTGAAGTATGTGTTGGCAATGTCGTCGCTGCCAGAAACCACGAGAGCGACGGCGTTGGCTAAGATGAAGTTTGTCCTTTCCTCCCCCACAATCCCTTTCAGCTTACCTATGTATTCTTTGAACATCTCTACTTGAGCCGACATCGGTATCACTGACTGATTTTTATTCGTTGTTCCATCTCAAGTCAGAAAACAAAACAAGCCAACGAGATTGGAGCCCTGGATATATATATATATATATATATATATATATATATATGCATACCACAATTTTGGGAGTCAAAGGATCATATCCTGAGGCGCCGGAAGCAAAGCAGACACCGGTAGGAAGATCATTAGGTTTCAGATTCGGATCCAAATAAGCAGGCAAGAACTCCTTAATACCCAACTCCTCAGCTGACATACAGTTCAGTTTATCCCAATTACTACGCAATTCATTAGAATTCAAAAATTTAGCGATGAAAAGCTCAATGCTTCGTCGCCCGGGCCCAGTTATTGATTTAATTATATCATGCGCCACAGACCGATCGAGTGCGTTCTTAAAATATATATACTTATATGCTGTGGTGCTGGCGAAATCACAAGCTAAACATGATCCTCAATACAAGTCTAGAATACACAGTGGATAGTGTGTGTATGATGATATACGTTTCATATAAAGCAACTCGCCTACTTTGAAATGGTTTTTTTTTTCCTCGCTATTAATTGGCCAAGCAACAGGTGGCTCATTCTGTCCGAAACGTTTACACGTTTATTCGTGGGTTATAAGGACGGCAACGTCACGTGGCATGAAAACATTAAATATTGCTAGCTAGTTGCCTAGTTCCTAATTTAGATTGGCATTACATTCCACTGATAAAATATTATGATCCCAGAACATTCAGCGGGGTTGGTAGTTACAGACACAAAACTTAAAAGGAAGGAGGTGAAGAGAAAGCAGTACCTATGATGTCTGAAGGAACCTTTCCATTGCAAAACCGGCCAGTTGGTTTGCCTCCCTCGAAATTTTGACCATAAGGAGGGAAGTTGCACTTGACTACTGTTTTGAGGTTGTTGTTGTTGCCGGTGTCCATGATTGAATCTCCAAATGCAAAGATTGCTGGAACTGAAATATTAAGTGGCAGCTTCACCACGCATTTGGCTTTGCGAGAAACCACTAATAACAGCATCAAATGGAGCAATGGTCTCCAAGCGAAACAAAAAGAGCAACCCAACTTCATCAACACTGCCATTGTGCCTGCAGGCTGTGAGAAGACCATGCAAGCAGCTGCTGCTTCCCTTCGAACTTGTTTCTCATGTACGCTCTATTTATACCACCCACCTCACCTCTGTCCTTTTCGTTCTTTTCTAGCTACCGCACGCAAGCAGGAATTGCTCTCACCGTTGATTTCTGTACTGTTTTCAGAGATGTACCCAGATAAATTAATTCAAGTTAATGATACGACGGGTAGCAAAATTTCACGGATTAACGAGACAGCCGGGGCATCAGCGCTCGGCTTATAATAATTGTGAATAAGATTGCGCGTTTCATCCTCTGCGCGCGCGCGCAAGCAATAATTATGTTTGAAAATAAAAAAACTGAATAAGCAACATTAGTTGTTTTTTATTAATATAAATTATGAGGGTAATGTAAGAAATCTATCATGAATATTTATTGAGATATGTGATTTTATTTATTAAGAAAAACAAATCAAGAGTGACAAGTTTCTTTAACAAATAATAATGGAAGGAGCATGTATCCACAGGATAATTAAAAAAAAAAATCTCAATATATGAGGTTGCGCTAGCCCTACGTATACACTCCCATCGGTCATTCAATCATTTTTGTAGGAAATTCAATAAACCAGATATTAATTTTTATATCACTGTTACTATACATTGCTACAGCATTAAGGGGCAATAAGTGTTGACTTCCGCATTTGTAGTTTTTCCTTTGAACAATTAGAATCAACAAGGGGCTCCAAATTAAATGGACAGCAATTTGGTAGCCCAATTTATAGTTCGATCGGCACTTCGATATTTCTGCAATTCTACCTACGTACTTACAACGTAAATTATTTGTGTGGGTGAAACGGATAAGTCACTATGGACCTTTTCTTTTTATTGGCGCTTAATATACTATTCTCTTCAATTAAGCTCGCCTTTCCCCGTCGCGAATTATATCAAACTTCTATCGTAATTTCGTAACGAGGAGGTTTATTTATTACACACACACAGTTGACACATACAAGGTAAGGGTAATTTAATAGTCAGTTTGGCTGAAAAATATGGAGCAAATGCACTGATGAAGGATTATTGTAGCACTTTTATGGACACACTAGTAGTGGTTCTTCATCTCCTTCTTCTATTGACAGCATGAACTAGTCTTGTATGTGTGCCTGCCCGTGTTGCCCTAACTAGAATCAGGAATAAAGACCGGACCTAAAGGCCCTCTTTAAATAAAGATTTAAATTTTAAAAATTAATTTTTTTAAAGTAATCGGGTTTGAAAGCTTAGCTCTGATAAGCCTTATTAAAAAAAAAAAAAAGGCTTGGGCTCGGGCTCGAGCTCGGGCAGCCCTTTAGGCCTTTTTATATTATTATTGATTTTTTTCTTTAGTAGAATACGGTTTTGAAGCCAAGACCTGAAGCCCTGATCCTACACACATTATATTATTAATTTTAATTTATTTTAAAATTAAATTAATATAATTTAATAAATATTAGTATACAATATAAAATTTTTAAAATTTTTTATTTTTTTATAATTATTATGTTTGTGTATTTATAAAAATTAAATTATTTTTTTAACCAAGATTTAAATTTTCTTATTAGACTTTTAAATGTGTATTGTTTAATTTTTAAAAGATTATGAAGATTTTTATTTTTTTTAATTTTAGAATAATTTAATTAATTCATAGTACTTAATTTTTTTAAAACAAAACTTATAGGCCTGATTCTAAACCCTTCAAATAAAGCTCAAGCCTCAAAAAATAAATAAAAAATGAGAAATTAAATTTAAAGATCGAGCCCACTCATTTTTTTAACTTTAGTCTCAATGCCTTTAATTTTTTTTTTTTGTTGGTTGGCAGATGGTAGTTAAAGTTGTACTACTACCAATTACACTGCTTGCCCCTTACTCAACAACTACTTACATATATGAGTTTGGTTTTGATGCTCATCATAAAAAAAAATTTGGGCCATCTAGATTTTATCTGGATGATCTATATTTTTTTAATTTTATAAAAATAAAATTCATAATTTTTTGATAAATATATTTATTATCAATTTGGATAGTATTAATTCAATTTGAGACTCTAAGTGGTTTAATTTAATATTATAATTTTCATAAACTGACTTTCTAGATGTACTCTGAATAAGACAGATTCAATATTAAATTTTTTAATAAGTTTTTATTTTAATAAATATAAAATAAAAATAAAAACTTTAAATTTAGGCCTTGTAGATAAAAATTTAATATTGAATCTCGATTATTCAGAGTACATTTAAATAATTAATTTATAAAAATTATAATATTAAATTAAACCATCTAAATTTAATCAGTATTGTCCAAATTGATGATGAATATATCCAGATTAATGATAAATATATTTACAAAAAAATTTATAAATTTTATTTTTATAAAATTAAAATTAATATTAATATTAAAAAAATTTAAACCATCCATATTAAAATCAAAATGGCCCAAATCTTTTTTTATGGTAAGCTTGGCGGTGCTCAGCAGTTGCATATATAGCGCTGTGCGTGCATGTTTCGCGCCCGGCTAACTTGTATATATAGTATACTACTTGTTAAGGCCAAACGCGAAAATAATAATCATTTATGTATGCTTGTTGGCCGAATTTTTTATACTTAGACATGTCTAATTAATGATCGTTCCATATATGCCAAGGGATTAATATACAATACACCATCGACAAATAAACTATGAGAAAAACCAAATTAAAAAATGACGTTTATATATACAAAAAGAAAATTGAAGAAGTGCGCCTACTATAATGGCCTTCAGTCAAAAGACGTGATGATCTTAAAAAAATGAAAAAAACTGAGTATTTTACACTCGGGGTTTATTGATGCGTAATTTAAGGCCTCCACTGCTCAAACTCTGCGGCACAAGCTCAGATGGAAGTGTTGTGCCTATTGAAGTTTCGTTTTCTTATCTTATGTTCGCTTTATCTTTTTTTGGGCTGATTTAGAAATTTTATTTTCGTTGATACGCGTCCACTGCCTCCATTGTCGCAACTAACAGTTTGCGTGTATATATATTTATTTAGCTTGGTCTCATCATCAGACAGCAACGCAGCATCTACGGACCCTATTAATCATTAATTAGAATAACTGGACACGTAAATGGAAAGATCGGGCATAAAATATACGCACCCAAGTTTCGGCCCATTTTTGGTTGCAGTATGCTAAACACAAAAATAACTCCATAATTCCTTTGCGTGACGCATAGATTATTAGTTTAATTTCACAATAAGATCGCAATACTTCCAGTGTCTCGCTCAAGACTGCTTTTTTTTTTTTTTATGCTAGTCCCTTGAAAAGGAAATATGAAATGAAGGATTGGCTCTATTAATAGTTTACTTGTTTCTGGATGGGTTGTCCGTAAAACTTTCTGATCTCGTCTCACTGATACAAGTTTAATCACTGCAGCGAGCAAAGTATTAGTGGTCATTAATTTAGATGTAGATTAGGGGAGGCCATTGCTTCCATAATTCACGGAATGCATCTAAATCTGTTATTTAAAGTATAGTTACTTGCTACTGTTAAGATTTGGATTCAGTGTCGACATTAAGTGCCTATATTATTTAAGTCATTAAAATTTAAATTAATAATTTAAATAAATTTATTTATTTATTAATTTTAAATAAAATATAAATTTATAATTATTGACTTAAATTTTAACAATTCAAACAAAATACAATCGTTGAATCTAAATTCTTACTTCTACTGCTAGTTTTGCTGAATATGTGGGAAAACTCGCCATAAAATCTCATGGTCACATACGAGCGTCGAATCCCGAAAGCGACGTCACAACTACCAGCCCAAAGGTGGATGCTTTTCGGCCAGACACTGTCCTCCAAAAGGTTGCATTAATTTTGTTTCGATAACAACAACATTAATAAATAATGCATATCCTCAACTACTAAGGGTTTTAATAAATTAAGTTAGCGAAGATTGCTTTGGTCACATGCATTCAATTGGATTGTACCCAGTTACTGTTTCACTGCGGGCCAGCTGGCTTCATTTGGTGGCCATCGCAAGTTATTTTATCAAGTCTCCTAAATCTGATAATTATTAGGCCGCCGTTTTTCAATTTCTGTCGACTGTCGAGCATATATGTTCATAAAAATCAAAAGATATCACTTTCACTTTATTTTTGAAAAGATAAAAAAATGTCAAAACAAAACATAAAATTTGATCCTAAATTATAACCATACGCGTTTGATATTTCTTATAGTTTCTGCGATATTTAACATAGGATCTCCTATTCAAAATTAATAAAAAATACTTCATAAAAATATCACACCTTTCAATAAAGTAGTTACCTACTTTTCAACTAACCCTATCTTTTTATATTTATCGTTATTAAATATTTTACAATAAATATAAAGTCATTATTAATAGGGATATTTTTGAAAAAAAAACAATAATTACACCTCAAAAGATTAAAAATGTCTTACATTTTTTAACATCCAATTTTTAAAAAATATTTTATATTTTTGAATAGAGGGAGTACAATTTATTAATTTTTATATTTTATATAATCACCGCGCTCATACATGGCATGGCTATGATCAATGTATTGTACAATAATCTTTTCTTGGGTTGTGGATTTTTGCAGAAGTGCTTGCATGGTCTGAAACCATGCCGGACTCTTATAGGCTTCGAGAAGGTGTAAGTTTATTTTGATTGTGAAGAAGCAATCAACGTTGTCACTAGTTTTCCAAGATATCATTGAAAATCATAAATAGGGGCTAGTTTTATTTTGTTAACTTTGTAGAGATCGATGTAATTAGTTGTTCTAAGTCCTTATCCAGGAAAATCTTTGAACTTGAGAGGAATTATTGTATATTTAATCTGTATATTTAATCACTCCACGCATTGTTTCTCAAGAGGATCGGAGGTGAATGATGAGTGCTAGCTGTTCAAATTTTTCGAATGCATTTGAATGCTTCTTCAAAACAAGAATCTCTTCTGCCGAACATTGTGTTACCTCACGTGGTTTTAAGGTGAAGCCTTGAGCAGAAATTCATGGTTAAAGTCCATCTACTATAATTTAAAAAACATATCTCGTTCAATTTCAAAATAACTGTTATTTAGTGCTTATATAATGATCTAAAAAAATATTAAATAGTGCAGACTAAAAAATATTTTAATTATACTCCATTCATTTATTTTTTCACTAATGAGTCGAGGACCCGGCATGTCATATTGGACACCACCCAGGATCACATATTCCTTTTTTAATCATAAAATATCTTTCACTTTAATTACAGCTTTGAGTTTTGACTTTGTTTTTAAAATAAATTTCAATCAAACTCTAATAAAACATTAATTATTTTTACACTTTTTTTCCTTCATTGATAAAAATAATAACACCACCAACAGGCATTTGCCGCTAGTAGATAAAGTTAAAATATACATGTTATGTTAAATAAATATGTTAAAGAGAATTTATAATAGATATAACATTTCCATGCGTCAGGGTTTAGATTAATCTAAGCGAGAGGTGAAAATATTATCAAGTTTCTTAAGATATCGGGTGATGAGATAACAAATAATGAGACTTGGAGCTAATATTGGCATGAAAAACGAAACAATAAATAATGGTATTTTAGAAAATATGATTAAATTTGACCAAAAGCCATATAGCATATTTTTTGTTCTATGTGAAATTGTGGATAATATTAAATGACAAATAGGGGAATATGGCACCAAAGTTCGTGGAAACGGCAGGCCACGGCATATATATTTTACATATATTTTTCTAATTCTATTTATAAAATACTTTTAATATGTTTTATTAAAATTAAAAAAAATTTTAAAACTTACTAACCTTGTCTAAAATTTAATAATTTCTCTACTTTGCCCCTATTATATTTATATATTTTAACATATTTTCTCTCTCTAACACTTAATGGAGATCAAATGAAAAAATGTGATATAAAAATTTAATGAAACAGTTTATAAATAAGACAAAAAAAAAAAGTTCTCTTTCTGCCTTATAAATAAGATTGAAGAAAGTATCTTTTTATTAAAAACAATCATGTTCAAAGCACCAGTAGACACTAAATGTAAACACATTTCCTAGTAAAGATTATAACTTTAATTTGTCATGTTATGAGGGATTAATTTCTTTCACTAAACTTAACCTACATTGTGGGCCTATTATATTTTGTGATGTGGACTAACTTCTCAACTTTACCCCTATTGTATTTATATACTTTAACAACATATTTTTTCTCTCTAACATTTAATGAAAATCTAATAAGAAAATTTGATATGAAAATTTAATGAAGTGACTTATAAATAAGATAAAAAATGTTCTCTTTCTACCTTATAAATAAAGTCAGAGGGAGAATTTTTTTTACCGAAGACAATCATGTTCGAAGCACTGGTAGACACTAAATGTAAACACCTTTTCTAGTGAAGATTATAACCTTAATTTGTCATATTGTGAGAGACTACTTTCTTCCACAAAACTTAAACCACATTGTGGGCCTATCTTGTGATGTGGGCCTCGGAGACGAACCTTGGAGACGGCAGACAGCGGCTGCCTATTATTCGTTCATGCAATTACTACACTGACGGTCTGCATTGGAAACGTTTTTATTTCGTCTTTTTTGTTTTTCCCGTCTTGTTCTGTTTCTGTGTTAGGCCCAATCTGTTTTGGATTGGGTCTATGTTTGCAATGGACTAATATTTTTTATTAGAATAAATTTATTTTTTAAAAAAATAGAAAAAAACTTATATATTCAACCTTATATACTTAAGTGTATAAAATTAAGTAATAAGTACCCACATCTTGCTAAATTTAAAAGGGAAGGAGTATTATATCAATAACCAATGTTCTTGCATGATTTATTAACAAAAGTCAAATCTAGAATTACAGAATAAAAACAAGGTTTGAAAACCAACGCAGAATAAAAACAAAGCTTATATACGTTAAAGAGATTAGATTATCACGGAATAAAAGTTATATAATCTTTTCAAAATATAATTTGAATAATTATAATTTAATGGGAGACATCATTAGTCAGATTACGTGTGCAACTAGCCAAAGGCAGCGATAAATTACGTAAGAACGTGAGGAGGATAGCTGGGGCCTAATACAGAAGCATCAGAACCCACCAAAATAGAAATCACTCATCATAAGCATTCAAAATAAACCATTCGCCGTACACTTAACAAAAAAACAAAAAAGAAAATCACAAAAAATTGAAAAGATATTCAATGATAGGTCTCATATCTAGTATAAACAAGATAAGAGACATCAAGTTGTATTTCAAGATAAATTCTCATGCTGATCGAAGATATTTTATCAACTGAAGGTGGGTGGATCCAATAATTGGGACGATCAAGACTGTGATGAACTACACTTGGGGACAAAGCATGTGAGACGTCAATTTAAATTGTTAGAGTATCAATTTAGCTGCTTGGCAGCGGTGCAACTTCACCATCGAAGTAAATTAAATGAAATTAGCTGTTAAATTAATTTCTTAAGGCCTCGTTTGGTATGATGGAAGAGTTTTTAATGAAATTGAAATCAAAATTGAAATTGAAATTGAAATCGGAATCAAAATAGAATTGAGTTTTTAAAATATGTTTGGTATGAAGATAGAATTCTAATATAATATTAATTTATATATATACTTAAAATAAAAAAAGACTAAATTGCCCTTTTTTAAAAAATTAAAAAGACCTATCTTGTTATAAATGAACAAAAAAGATGAAGATAGTGGAGTTCACAAATTAAATTTAAGAAAATTGAAGCATTTCCATAATCAATATGATGAAATTAAATTCTAACATTTTTGACGAAATTAAAATTTTTAAAAATTACAACTCTTGTGTATCAATCATACTTAAATTAAGATTCCATCTTTGATTCCATTTTCACCTTACCAATCAATGCTACCAAACATAGCCTAATTTGGACGCACTGTCATTTCCAACCCCACCCTGTTAAAAAATGAAAATGGAGGGAAGGGAAAGCAAGAAAATCCCTTCTTTATCCATTTTCCCTTCAATCAATTAATGCACTGAAGAAGGAGACTCATGAATACGAGGTTATGTGAAGATTGAAAGACGTGTGGACAAGCCAAAAAGGAAATATATAAGGCGATATACATTCTACAAGATCATAAAGATTGTGTATGCGTATACAACAGGAGACGGTGTCATAATTAATGAATAATAAAAGTTTCGTATAATTTTATGAGGAAAAGTCAACATTAACATTGAAATCCATTTGCAGTTCGGTCCCTGTTATTTAAAAATTTTAGTTCACTTCCTAATTTTTACATTCGCTAATGACTCAGCCCTCATACAATGAAGGCACTAATTCCACCCCTTGGATGAAGCTCTTTGAAACAAAATATCCGCCCCTTGGACTATCCAGATTGCAGACTACCGTTTATTTATTTATTTATTTGCCTATTTTTAAAGGGGGAACCTCCCAAGTCTTAAGAACATGTTTTTCGGTTGAAAAGTTTGTTGGGCTAAAGAGTTACAGGGCACAAAGAAATGCCAGTCGGGTTGCTAGAAGGGGAGCAAGAGTCTCAGACCAACACGAGAAGTGGGGCGTAGACTTGAAAATGCCAGTGGCCTCTGACAAAAATTCATAAAACTACACAATGCAATGGATTTGGTAGAAATACACGTGCATGCATAGCGTCTATCTAATATTTTATACGAAAGGGCAACCGAATGAAATATGTTTCTTCTTTCATACCCAAAGGGGGAAAAAAAAAAAAAGCAACGGACATCTTTTAGACATTCACACACCAAGGATCAAAACAAAAATTGACGACCAACAGAATTCATGACAATCACTGCAGCACTAGGAAAATAATACACGAGGTAATACAAAGTCCAAACAATCATATTCTTGATCTGAAAGAGATTGATCCATAAAAGTAAATTGAATTTTAAACTGACACGTATAGATACGGTCAGTATAACTCAGCAAGCACTCACGAGAAAGGGGCGCTGGCAAACCCCACACTCGATTGTCTCAGAGCCAGTGTTAGGGACCAGAACCTACAGTTATCCAACATGACATGGGCCAGAATGAAGATGACAATGATGTGTATGTTTGCATGAGAAAGAAACATAATGAGATTGGCAAGTAAATTCCAACCTGTAGATGGACCGTGCACGTAGGACATTCAGCTTCTTTCATCCGCCTTCCAGATCCGTCAGTCTTCGACCCTGTAAATTAATTTCAACATATCAATTCAAAATTCCCCCGTTTCAACTGAAAACCCCAAGCTACAAATTCATTAAAGCATGGTTACTCAGACTTACACGTAATCAGCCACAATTCTTTAACAATTTAATGACTTACAGACCAGGCTGACAAAACTTGAATTACCTGATGTCTTCCGATTCCTCTCCAGCTCCTCCTATCAAAAGCAATCTTTTTTTTTTTTTTTTTGGGGGGGGGGGGCGGTGGGGTTTGGAATCAGAACCAGTTAAAAGCATATAATACGCATGAGAAGTGAAAAACCACAGATGCTTATGGTATTAGGCATGCTCAATAATACCTGCAGTTTCCTGGCAAGATCTTCATGACTCGGCAACACGGATCTACTTGCTACCTCTTTCGTGTAACTAAGCCTGCGTGTCACTTCTGCCTATACAACAAATCGATATAAGATGTCCGCTTTTCCAATGCATATAAACCACAGCTTGAAAATATAATGCGCCACAAATGCAGAGAAAGAAACTGGCAGGGCACAGAGAAACATGAGAGGGCACAGAAAGTGGGGAAAATACAGGACAGATCAGCGAGAGGGTGGTTAATGAGAAAACTGCCCGTGAAACCCCATGATAATTGATAACACCACCAGCGACAATATGCTTACCACTATAAGTCAGTTACCAGGTTTATGCGCAGTTATTGTGTTCGTACTGCATTCATATTCAGCTAGTGTTAGTGCTTCAGCGACCGTGTTCCTCTTAGCACAAATAGTAGAACTAGGGCTGGTTAGGAGATAGCATCCACGATCTGTTTGTTGTCTTCCGGAGATTCTCCTAGCTTTCTGAGAACTATGAGTTAAAGATTCTTGTTCATTCTTTTATAGATTTTACCTTCCCTTAATTCCCCTGTTCTTATCAGAAACCCAAGAGAAGGAAAACAAGGCGTGATAAACATTAAACCGCTCCTCCAAAAAAATTGAAAATACCCACACAGAAAGACCCAATAACCTCATAACAATTGAGAAAGCAAATTCATAACATCACTTTCGTTTTATTATGAGAAAGCAAATTCATAACATCACTTTCGTTTTATTACCAGGGAGGGAAAAATCAACAAATATGGAACATACCATACATCGATCGCACACATGTACTGGCAGAGCATTCTCATCTGCAGTTAGAGCAATTCTACCTTGTGTACATTTGTCACAAAAAATATCCCCACAGTTCCTACAGTGGTTCTGTTAGAAGCATAGATGATTGAAAATTAGCAATCAAGCGCATTTGAAACAGTATCAATCAAGCATGGAAAACACTAAAAGCTTAGAAACAGACAAGAAAGATATGGATCAACCTTACGAACAAAAGCATTAAAATCAGCTCCACATGCTGTACATTTCGACACTGCTTCATCAGGGACCTGGATAGAGTCATTGAACTTCACAAGGAGCAAGACAAACGAACAACCATATCCTACATTGATCTAAAGTCACCACGATTGAACAATTCATTTTCTTCGAGACCATGTGGCATTTTGGGGTTTTCAACTTTCTAAGAGCTAGAAGTGAGAAGAATATACTACTACGGTTATATGGAATTTATTGAAAAAATTGCAAGCACACACTTCTCCTAACCATCATAGTCAACCAATAGCAAATTAGCACAAGCATCCTAGAAATAGTATTGGTTCTGAGGTAGAACTTTCAGCTACAACCATAGGAGCATCGCTTAGGAGAAGAGGAGGGGTGGTTAGGAATAGAGAAGAAGAAAAAGAAATTGAATTTGTATCTGACATTACCCAATAATCCTTCTCTTCATTGGGAGGTTTGACCAAATTCATCCAATCAACGAAACCTTTCTTCTTTTCTGCAGGCTGTTCATTTGTTTTCAACGCTTCAGCAGGCCTGCTGCTTCCACCCATTTCCTTGAACTGCAATAACAAACAGATGGCGGATAAAGATTTTTCATCTTCTCTACATTAATTCTTGCAGGCAATTCCGAGATACCAGTATTAATGCACAGTGGTGACTGGTGATGCTGTTTCAACAGCAACATCTGGACTGTCTAGATTCAATTTTTATGGTTCAAATTTTATATTCTTTCCCTAATGTTTAATGACTAATTATCACCTTTTTTAAAGAAGGTCACAGATAGAAGACTAAATTTATTATGCATAATATTTCTTTTAAAATAAGAAAAACTAAACTTCTCAAATATATGCATACACACACATAATCTGGACAGCACCTTTGCGCTGCTTTAGCAGGTTGTGATGTCATTGAGGGGAGGACGAAGTTGAGACAGATAAATGCCCACAAATATAGTTTATGACATGATATCTCAGAAACTACAGAACAGGATGCTTCATGGGCAAAAGAATTGACACACAAGCATCATCTACAATATTTCACCCCGAACAGGGCATAGATTAATTCTTCTATCTTAGTGCCATTTTTAGTTGCCACATCTTGTGTAGAAGTAGCCTTGGGTTTCTTGTTTAAAATGTCATGTGCTTAGCAGTTGACCTTTGTGATCAGCTTGGATGACCACGATTTTATCAAACTTACCTTTTAAAGGCTCACAGCTAGTATCATTTGCCATGATATACATACAGCTCAAAATAAGCCAAGTATAATTTTGAAGCCAACTGGCTTTAGAAGAAAAATCCTGGGAAAAGGGGTTCTTGAGCTATTTTTATCAGCCTTCATGATTTTGAAGAAAGTAAATAGCTGTTTGAGTTCTCTAGTTTTACATGACATAGAACCAAAAATCTCTACACTAAGCTAATTTCTACTGTAAACCCTGGTTTACTCTCCTGAAGCATCAAAGATGATGCAGAAACAGGAAGTTAATTATGAGTTGCCACTCAACATTGTAGCTCATAGAGTGCCTGCAAATATGACAAGATCCTGTGAAATGCTCTGAAGCCCCACCTGTATGGTTGCAGCAGTCACGGTATCCAAAAGTCTGTTGGTAGTGTAACTATTGGATTGCAGTCTAATTCGTTTTGGCTCTACGTCCACCGAGCTCTTGGACCAAAATGCTAAGGTAGACGAATCAAATCTCTGTATTATTAAATGAAAAAAATATTATCTAAACCAATATTTTTTTAAAAATTAATTTCATACTGATTTCAAATTTTCATAGAGCAAATATAAACTCACCTCGCATCTTGTAATGTTTTCAAGAGGATATGTTCTCAAGATTCGGCTGGTGCTTGGATCAAGCATTCTAATTCCATCCAAACCAATCTGGAAAAACATATATATATATATATATATACAAGTTGGAAAAAAATCACCAATTCCCATCATCAGCCTAGGCTGGGATGAACGAGAAACAGGTAAAAATAATGCAAGAAAGACATGCTGAATTCCATTAAGCAAGGGGTTCTAGAGTGTAAATAATTATATATATATATATATATATGTCTATATATTTAGTCAAATAAGATTTGCAGAAGAGGGATAAATAAACGAAGGCACAACTAAGAGCTTTTGTCATTCACCATAATCACGGCCACACTCCCAAACATATAGATGTCAAATCCCAATGAAAAGGAAGACATGAAGAGAAATCAAAACTTAAGAATCCTATCGGATTGGTCAATGGTCAAATCCAAAGGGAAGAGAGGAATGTTATAAAAAGTCACGTGTCCCAAGGAAGATGGTGGTCATGAATAGCTAACATCCATAAATCATAGAAATGGAAGAAAATGATCAACTCATGATGGGGAACAAAGATGCAATTTTAGACAGAGAGCAGGCCAACAGAACCATCAGTCAAAGCGCGCACCAGAAACATTTAGAATATAATGCGAAGGAATAAGATGCAGCGCTATCCACCTCCCGTACAACAGACACTAAAATAACATGGCATCGAAACACAACCCCGGGCTACGCTATTTATTTAGTAAGTAGCATTATATATGCTGACCTCTCACTATTGAATATTAAATCTTATATTTGATTGATTTTACGACATTATTATATAACAAATTAGATATCACTTCCGTAATATTTCCAAAAGTATATTTAGAATTCAGGGGGGAAATGTTGACGATATCTTGGATCCAAAAAATAAAAAATAAAAATAGATTATATACTATTAGTGATTTAGCATGAGAATTTTTCAATAAGAACATTATACAACAGTCGAAGAAAAGTTACATGTATTCATATTATCGCTTATCACAGTGATTAATAAATTGTATTAGTTCTCTTCAAATAAGAAATATTTAGCTGCTACTACATTCATACCTGCAATAGAACATCCATAGTGTTTTGACCACTACTTTCTGCCAACAGCTTTACCCGAAATTTTTGCACTCCGCTTTTTACATCTTCTTGGGCATCAGCCTTCGGCACTGCTTTGGCAATCTTGTTTGACACGCGGGATTCTTTCGGAGAGGGAAAACTGATAGGCCTCCCAAAATCATCAAAGCCGGACCAAGTAGATTTAGGAGCCGTGCCGCGAGCTATATAGCGTTCTACTTTGCCCCCTTCATAAGCACAGACACCTTCTCCGTAAACTTCATCGAGACCATGATCATACCTGGAAATCCCGCTATCCTGTCGATTCCCGTAAAAATCTGATCCCAAACCAGAACGGCTCTGATTGAAACTTCCATATCTATCATCCAAGTAAGCACCACCATGATCAAGTTTTGTGGGATACTCATAAGGAATTTCGTACGTGAAAGGTGTGGAACATCCTGGTTGACTGTAGGGAGACGCGTGCGAGGACGAGAACGAAGAATTCGGACTCAGGTTTTGAGGAGCAGGGGAGGCGTAACCATAATCTGGAACCATTTGATGTCGATCATAGGGCGGATGATAGGATTGCTGGGCGGACGAAAGATGAGATTCAAACGGAGGGTAAGAGGAGTGCTGCGGAGAAGAACTGACGGGCTGCGAACGGAAGGTGGAAATTGGAGAGTATGACGGAGCAGTGGGAGTGGCCGGTGCCAGGGCAGAGATGAGTTCGGAATCCTGAGGGTTTAGCGGGTAAGAGGAGGAGTATGTTGTAAATCAGGAGCATAACTGGAAGTGAACGGAGGAGCGGAAGCGCACGCGTTCTGGATTGGATCGGCAGTATAAGGATTGGGGTTCTGAACGTGGGGGAATTGATAATAGGGAGAGGAGCTGTAATCTCCTTGCTGCATCGCTGATTTCAGCAGATTCGAAATACGGATAGAAATTGACTCTTGCCGATCCTGGCTTTGGAGGCGAGCGGATGAGGAGGAGGGTAACCATTGTTGGCGGAAGGGAATCTCGGGAAGTGTCCCGTTTATGGTTGCCGCGTCCCGAACTTTCGTGCTTCTTCCACGTGGCAAAAGTTAGGCTGCTTTGGTTGATTATAATTGATTAATATAATTAATTTTAATTATGTTTTAATATATTCTCCCCATCTATATATATATAAAAAATCTTTTAACTTTTTCTTACTAAATAAAAAGAGTTAACATATTTTTTAACAAATAAATTATTATATTCTTAGTAAATTAAAAAAAGATAAGTACTCATTAATTTACTTTTAAAAAAATTCACTTTTTATTCATAATAATTAAGAGTAAAATTAAAATATTATTATATTTTTAATTAGATAATTAATTTTTATTAATCTGTATACATTTTATATGTAAGGAAAGAAGGAGTAATTTATTTAGATACTGTTTTTTTGAAACTAATTTTTAAAAATTAAAAATATTTGAATAATTTAATCAAAATTAATTTTGCTTATACAAATTATTATAAAGAATATTATTTTTTTAAAATTAAATTATTGATAAATTTGTATATGATATTATTAAATTTTTTAAATTTTATTTAAAAAGTAAAATATAATATTTAAATTATATATCTGATTAATTATAAAAATTTAAATTATATTAATATTAACAATTTAATTGAAATAAACAAATAACTCAATCTATCATAGTTCAAATAATTTAATAAAAGAGAAAAATTTAATTCTTAAATATCAAATATTAATTTTATAATAATTAATGAAGATGATAATATATAAGTTAATTTCTAACGATATCATGAATATGAGTGATATTTAATAAAGATGTTAAGTATTGTCTTAAAATTTTGACAATATAAAAAATATAATAATATAACCAATGACACAATCTCTCTCTCTCTCTCTGAACCTTGTTAGCAATTTTTGTAAGGATTTTAAATTTTAAATTAAATAAAACTTAATTTTTTTATCAATTAATATTTTATTTAAATTAGTTTTATAACAAGTGTTAGGTAAAAGGTGATAGTTGATAAAAACTTATACTAATAACTTTTTTAAAAATTTAAAATTTAAATTTTACTAAAAAAAAGAGAAGAGAAAAGATTTTAATTTATTTTTATTAAATTTTGTGTCCTTTTTATAATTTTTTTAGACCTTTCTTATAATTTTTTTACATGTTTTTTTTTATCATATTTGTTTTTTTTTATTTTCTTCCCTTCTCATCCGAATGCCTAAAGCTCATAGAGGTAGCTTAAGAAAAAAAATTAATTTTTCTCTCAATAATCGATTACCGATTTAAATTGATGTTTGGGTAATTTTTAGGAAAATCAATTTTTTAACTCAAAAAATTAATTATTTAGCTAATCCAAACACGTAGAATGTCTTTTTGTTTTTTTGGCCACGCCAAAGGTATCAAAAAATTTTTACTCCCAACTCATTTTTAATTGAATCTAACATTATAATAAAATTAATTATTTATTTTTAAATTAACATTATCTTTTTATATTCATCTTCATATAATAGAATGTTTTCCTTTAAAATAAATACAAAGTGATTATTCAACAGGGTCACTTAAAAAAAGTAATGATTATACATTAAAATACTAAAAATATTTTATATTTTTTAACATTTAAATTATCAAAAATTACCTTATATTTTTTAACGAAGAGAGTATTTGATAATAGTCCTCTGTTTTGAAATATATAAAAAAATATCCTATATTTGTTAATTTTTTTATTATGAGTAAATCTATAAGTTTTAAAAAATATTAATTATATTTTTTAGATTGCCTTTCATAAATGGGTTGTATCATTAAATTAAAAAAGTAAGCATTAATTACAAAGACATTTTAGTCCTTAAATTATATGTGTTGGTTAAAATTCTCTTTTCTAAAAAGCAGCCAAAAAAAATATTTTTGAATTTTATTAAATAGAATTACAAGTAAAATGACCAGAATATCCTTTCCAAACAAAATTAAAAAATCTTTATAAAATATAGTTAATATAAAGAGTAGAGAAAAACAAGATAATATAATAAATGGAGAGAAAATAATGGGAAAAAAATTCTTATTCACCAGTGTACATATGCTCTGGATATGGCCTCTGTTTATATGCCTCTAACCATTTAAATTCTATTTTAATGTTACAAAGATATAAAGAGGCATGTAATAGTACATTATGTAATATTTAAAGGTTATAAGTTATTAAAATTAAGAAACTCCTTTCATGTCATTTATAAGAATATTAAGGATAAAAAAATCTTAAAAACTATGAGTTATAAACATCCATAACATAATATTTATAATAGTAAGCCAACTCAAATCACGCCACTGTGAGAGTGATATAAGAGTTGTTTAAAATAGTTTTTGTTTTATTATTTTGAGAATTATTATTTTTTGTATAATGTGTTTTAAAAATAAAAAAATAATCATAAGCCCGATGGGGGTTCTTTTCACCCTTCCCTCACGGTACTACTTCACTATCGGTCACCCAGGAGTATTTTCACAATTTTGTTTATCTTTCAAAACAATAATCTCAGAATACCTAAAAAATATATTTTTTTAACTCTTCAAAACAATAGTTGATTTTTTATTCAACACATTTTTTGAAAAATACATTATCAAATAATTTTTTTATTTTAAAGAATAAAAAATGAATTTCAAAATAAATTGCCAAACAAGCCTATAGCACTCAATAATTTAGGATGAAAAATTTTCCTCCGTCAAAAATTCGAACCGACTAAACTACCTAGATTCAAACACCACACCACAGCGGGGTTTGATGGCTTCGTTGATGAAATTGGCTCTCTAGCTTCTCCTATGAACAGACGGATTTGAGCGATGCTGATGGGGAGAGATGCGACGGTGGTGAGAAGGCATAGACTGAGTGGTTATTAATGAACAAAAGGCCCAAACGCTGATGCTCCAATGGAGATGGCGGGGGTTTAAAAAAGAGAAGGCGGAGCTGTGGTGGGTGAGTTTTTGTATCCAGCAGCGGCTCTCGCAGAGGAACTCAAAACTCGGTGAGATTGTTGTAAATTTACTCCCAACTAGCTTTTATACCCGAACGTATATGGAATATTAATTTTCAGTTGCAATATAATTGAATAATGAAAAGAGAAGATTTTAATCAGCTCAATTTCTAAAAATAAATAAAAGATTAAAATTTTTAATATAGATAAAATATAAATAAGAGAAATAAAATTACTTACAAATTTTAAACTACCCTTCTCTATACAATTATAAAAATTACTCCGTACACTACCTTTTAGATCAAGTAAAATTTTTAAAAGATATCCTGCTCTTTCATTTCTATTTGCAAGAGAAAAAAAACTATATCATACAGTTTAAAAAAATTAATTAATTACATTAATTGTGTTTAAAAATAAAAAATTAGACTACAATACCCTTTATTAATAACGTTAATCAAATATTCATTAATTGTTTCTTATGACTATAAATGATAAAATTATAAGAAATAATTTAAAAAGTTTGTAATAAATGCTTATTAAAAAATATAATTTTAATTATATAAAAAATAAAATAAAAGTGATAATTTTTTTTATAAATAAAAATAAAGTGAGTATATTGTAATTCACATAGGATATTTTTTAGCATTGTTTTCATATTCGCTACTTATTTTTTACTGTGGGTCCCCAATCTCATGCCCACGTTACTACAAAACCCTTGTAATCTTTTTATTTTTATTTAATATATAGTAATAAAGAAAATTATTACAAAAATAGGGACTTTTACAAATATAGTCATATTATAAGACTAAACTAAGCAAACAGCCCAACATTTGTTGTATTTCACGTTATAAATAATTTATTATATTTATTAATGATATATCATTATATATCAATGATAAATCTTTTATAAAGTTTTAAATTTTCAATGATAAATTTCTTATATATTTCAATGATAAATTTCTTATATATTTCAATGATAAATCTCTTATATATTAATGCGAACCTGTTATGCTTTTAAAATTTTAAAAGTTTGGTCCATACTTTTTAGTACAAGATTTTTTTTTTTTACAAATAAGCTAATTTATCTTAAAAAATAGATCGGATGTAGTAATACAATAGAGGAGAGATTTTTATATAACCCTGGTGTAACATTTGAGAATATTGATCCTCAAATTAGCTAAATAAATAAAAGTAATTAGGTAAATTTATGTGATATATGATTACAAAGAGCTAGGTGGTGTTTTGGATTGTGTTTTCAACCTTAAAATTGAGTTCAGAGTGAAGTCAGGTTATCCGGACATGAAAAGTGAGAAAAACATGAAGAAATGACTTTGTGTCACATGCCGCAGCGCACGGGCCATCAAAACATCAAGTAGCCTTCTTTGTACCATATGCTGTAGCGTGTGGGAACACATGCCGCAGCACACAATACACTTTCTACATAAATAAACTCAAACTTATGCAAAAATCATAAGAGAAAGACAAGGGAAATGAATGAGCTCGCCTTTGCTTTGTTAAGGCTTTAATTTCAAGAAAGTTAGAGGTATTTTAAAGCTACTAAACTCTAAAAGTAAATCTCTTAACTTATTCTTCTCCTTTCCCAATCCTTTTTCTTGAAGTTTTTTGTTAAGGTTTAACAATAAGAGATAATTTTTGGTTCATATAAGTTATAAGTCTGAACTCATTAACTCAAATGGAGTTAATTAGAGTTATTGGAGATATTTAAACTTGATGATAAAGGATTTACATGTTTTGGTGATTATGGATGCATTAATGGCCAAAAATGCCATTTATTGTGGTTGTTGGAATTGGTTAAGAGGCCATTAATGACAATGTGAGAGTTTAATGAAGTTATTGGAGACTAAAGAAAATTAACATACCAAATGGATAAGCCTAAAAGTAAGAAATAAAGGTATTGAGTATTATAGAAGTGGGAAATGAGAGCTGAAAATGTATTTTTGATAATATTAATTGAGTTTGAACTTGATTAATTATAGGTTAATCATTCTAGTATCATATTTGGTTTAAAAAGCAAGCTTGAAAGTAAGT